CAATAATTTAGTGTTTTCCCTTGCAGCAGTGAAAGAGTCGTCATCGTAATCATGGCTGAAAAGAAGAAAGAAAGTGAGCGTAAAATGATGATGGAGATAATCGACGTTTATAGATCCTTATCGGCCTTGTGGAAAATAAAATCCGACGAGTACAGTGACCGGGAGAAAAAGGCTGACGCATATAAAATATGTATGGAAAATATAAAGAACATTATCCAAATGCTACACTGGAAGAAATGAAAAAAGAAAATAAATACCCTTCGCACGAATTTCCGGGCTGAATTGCGCAAAGTGGAAAGATTCGGCGTCCATTCTGAGGAAATTCCTGTAATCCTCTGGCTCGTCGTCCCTTAATTCCCTCAGCAATCTTGTATGTCCTTGTTCCCTTCGACAGAGATACCATTTCTTTACCCACTTACTCCTCTTCTTTCGCTTTGGAGTGTCCAGAGCAAGCACTACTCCAAGTGCCACAGATGCTTTCATCTCGAAAATTATGAATCAAACTGAAAATTGAAGTAAAATCATTGACCGTGTGAGGGCACAGTGATTTCCATCAATTCATTGACGTCAATAAATTGATATCAATTAACTGACGAAAAAATTGATCGTGTGAGGGCCCCTTTAAGCTCATTTTTTAATCCTGCACATGCGCAGAAGGGACAAGTTAATCCCACCAATCATATACTGTTACGTCACGTGCCCGTCATGAACTTCACGGATGCCATCGCTTGAGTTACCATTCAGAGTTATTTTCGGCAATAACATCGATCGTCTTAGAATTTTCATACTTGATATTTATTATGAAAATGAAATTATATATATATTTACACAAATTATCAAATATTCTGATAAAGGAAATAACTTATGGCAATGAATATAAAAACCAATATAATCCCACGAGGAATCTTTGAAGTTCAGAGGCTGCGGGCATGGAACTCATATTTCCAGGTTAGTGAAACAAAAATTATATGGTCATGGTCACACAAGTTGACGTTTTAAATCAAATATGAACCAGTGTTTTAAAGAAGGATTATGTGCTGAGTTTTTTCAGTTACTTTACTGAAAAATTAACAAGTATACTTTTCAGTGGATCTCCTGAACAGCACCCTGAAGAAAACATGTTTCCTTCCTCCAACACGATTCAACGCAGCAAAGAGCTGTGCGAGGAAACTGCGCGATGGATATTTAATTGGTGAATGTCATTTTTGTACTTGAGTGTCATTGAAATAGAGATTGGTTTTATAGTTGTTAGAGCAGTTTCGTTACCCATTTTACTACTATAAATATAAGATCGTTATCATGAAAGAAAATAGAATATTGTATAAATAATCGTTTCCCTTATAAGCCTACTTGTGCCTCGCTATTATCAAATGAAGATCAAACTGCATCTTGAGTGACTGACTACAACTTTCTATAACAACCACCTTTTCTCCAATCTATAAAGATGAATATCAGTTGTCAGAAAAATCTTTTGACAATGCTGTGTCTAAATGCAAATTGCAAGGTTTATTTATCCAAGTAAATTTTATATCGGACTGCAAATCTTTAGGTAATATCTTTAAAAGTGTCTTCTATATCATATGCGTAGGGACATGAAGGGTGAATGTTGAATGGATATCTTTTGAGTGATTTTGTTGCTTATTTACAGGTGTGAGTGCATGACTTGCTCCAAACGCTACCCTACACAACATGCAACAGTTATGTGTGAAGAGCAACTGCACAGAAACGTTTCAAAATACCACAGTTTTTTTTCAGCAATAAAAAGACAGTAAATCTCAGCTCCCACCCTTTAGATTTGTAAAACCTATTCCGACACGCCCAGAAATACGAGACCAGGATCCTATTTAACCTTCTTAAACCCGAAACTATGAACGTGATGCCCAAGTAATACAGAATAGATTGTTATTGATTTTCACATGATACAGAAATGGTTGATTCTTTATTTTCTTGTTTTTTTGTAATCCAAAAATACACCTACAAGACGTTGACATCGTTGACATGGCCTAACAGTATATTATATACGACAATTGACAATAATCATAGAATAAGTTATTATGTAAATATCGTCGTATCTTACGCATAATTTCCAGTTACCTTTGTTAATATCAAATGATTTCATATTTCCACAATAATGACAGCCTTATTTCTATAAATAAAGGTAAAGCTAAACGAAAATTTGAGTAAATAAGCCAACAGAATTACATGCACATAATCAGGGGAAACTGAAGTAAATCGAGCTAAGACCACAAATCCAAAAGCTACACAAAATTATTATAGTGCTACATACGTAACATCTGTACCAACAAAGTTGATTTATGTCGTTATCATTATCATGTACAACAACTACCATAACAAAAGACAGATGTGTGATTAGCACAGTGATTCTCAAAGCTTCCGCAACGGCAAAGTATTTTGTGAGACGTTTGTTTGTATATATACGTGTGTGTGTGTGTGTGTGTGTGTGTGTGTGTGTGTGTGTGTGTGTGCATGTATGAATATGGTGGAAAAAAACTCAATGCACAAACTAGATTTATTGAAATGAATGAGAGAACTACAGATCCGTATCAATTTAGTTAAATGGAATGGCACACTCAAAAGATAAGATTAGACTATAATCTGATAAAAAAAAAAAATAAACATTACTGTGTTTTCAACTTTAGTAAGTATAAGCAATTTTGAGTATGAATTAGTATCATGTTTGGTTGTAAATTTTCGTTTACGCTGTATATCTAACTTCTGGCTTGGGGCTTTTGCTTATGTGTATGTATTTTATTCTTTGTTTTTTTCTTTCTTTCTTTCTTTCGTTTTGCGTATACCGAGGAGCAGCAGAAGTAAAAGGAAAAAATCAAACTGCCAATTTCTCCACTTTTGACCCTACTCTATGGCTCTTTTCGCATATATCCGGCAACTTTCGAAAAAAAAAAAAACTATTCGCTCAATCCCTACATTATGTCGAACTTCATTACCGGCGTGTGTATTTGGGAAGCTAACGTAGACATAATTTCAGAAATAGAGGAGTATCTCCTCCCAAATTACCTCAACCGTTTTCTATAGTATTGTTTATCTTTGAACGAGTGAGGCAAAGAGCTGTGCGAGGAAACTGCGCGATGGATATTAATTGGTGAATGTCATTTTTGTACTTGAGTGTCATTGAAATAAAGATTGGTTTTATAGTTGTTAGAGCAGTTTCGTTACCCATTTTACTACTATAAATATAAGATCGTTATCATGAAAGAAAATAGAATATTGTATAAATAATCGTTTCCCTTATAAGTAAGCCTACTTGTGCCTCGTTATTATCAAATGAAGATCAAACTGCATCTTGAGTGACTGACTACGACTTTCTATAACAACCACCTTTTCTCCAATCTATAAAGATGAATATCAGTTGTCAGAAAATTCTTTTGACAATGCTGTGTCTAAATGCAAATTGCAAGGTTTATTTATCCAAGTAAATTTTATATCGGACTGCAAATCTTTAGGTAATATCTTTAAAAGTGTCTTCTATATCATATGCGTAGGGACATGAAGGGTGAATGTTGAATGGATATCTTTTGAGTGATTTTGTTGCTTATTTACAGGTATGAGTGCATGACTTGCTCCAAACGCTACCCTACACAACATGCAACAGTTATGTGTGAAGAGCAACTGCACAGAAACGTTTCAAAATACCACAGTTTTTTTCAGCAATAAAAAGACAGTAAATCTCAGCTCCCACCCTTTAGATTTGTAAAACCTATTCCGACACGCCCAGAAATACGAGACCAGGATCCTATTTACCTTCTTAAACCCGAAACTATGAACTTGATGGCCAAGTAATACAGAATAGATTGTTATTGATTTTCACATGATACAGAAATGGTTGATTCTTTATTTCTTTTTTTTTTTTTTTTAGTAATCCAAAAATACATATAACAGCACGTTGACATCTATTGACATTTGCCTACAGTATATTATATACGACAATTGACAATAATCATAGAATAAGTTATTATGTAAATATCGTCGTATCTTACGCATAATTTCCAGTTACCTTTGTTAATATCAAATGATTTCATATTTCCACAATAATGACAGCCTTATTTCTATAAATAAAGGTAAAGCTAAACGAAAATTTGAATAAATAAGCCAACAGAATTACATGCACATAATCAGGGGAAACTGAAGTAAATCGAGCAAAACCCACAAATCCAAAAGCTACACAAAATTATTATAGTGCTACATACGTATCATCTGTACCAACAAAGTTGATTTATGTCGTTATCATTCATGTACAACAACTACCATAACGAAAGACAGATGTGTGATTAGCACAGTGATTCTCAAAGCTTCCGCAACGGCAAAGTATTTTGTGAGACGTTTGTTTGTATATATACGTGTGTGTGTGTGTGTGTGTGTGTGTGTGTGTGTGTGTGTGTGTGTGTGTGTGTGTGTGCATGTATGAATATGGTGGAAAAAAATCAATGCACAAACTAGATTTATTGAAATGAATGAGAGAACTGCAGATCCGTATCAATTTAGTTAAATGGAATGGGACACTCAAAAGATAAGATTAGACTATAATCTGAAAAAAGAAAAAAAAAAAATAAACATTACTGTGTTTTCAACTTTAGTCAGTATAAGCAATTTTGAGTATGAATTAGTATCATGTTTGGTTGTAAATTTTCGTTTACGCTGTATATCTAACTTCTGGCTTGGGCCTTTTGCTTACGTGTATGTATTTTATTCTTTGTTTTTCTTTCTTTCTTTCTTTCGTTTTGCGTATACCGAGGAGCAGCAGAAGTAAAAGGAAAAAATCAAACTGCCAATTTCTCCACTTTTGACCCTACTCTATGGCTCTTTTCGCATATATCCGGCAACTTTCGAAAAAAAAGAAAAAAAAACTATTCGTTCAATTCCTACATTATGTCGAACTTCATTACCGGCGTGTGTATTTGGGAAGCTTAACGTAGACATAATTTCAGAAATAGAGGAGTTTCTCTTCCCAAATTACCTCAACCGTTTTCTATAGTATTGTTTATCTTTGAACGAGTGAGGCGAGGACGTCAACAAAGTCTTGTGTCTAGATAAGGATATTTTAGAGTAAATATTTGGATCCCACATCTTTTCTGTTTACTAATTCCTGTTACATTAGCTTTTCTAAACTTAATATCTGCCCGTAAATGAACTGGGAGAGCTTAACTAATAGCTTTAAGCAATAATTGAGAAAAAATCGTTTCAGATGACCGGTATTATAGTTGATTTTTTTTTATATTAGTCATTTTTAATGCCCTTCAACACCGCACGGTTACATAACATTGCAATGTGCAGCCTCACACGTTGAGTTTCTTTTATGCAACTGCAAATTGTTGAAAAACTATATCGGTGTGTAAGAAATTATTATTATCGGTTCAAGAGATATAGGTGGAGGGACTCGTTTTCCCTTTAAATTTTAAATTATTGTGTATAGAACAGATAATATGCTTCAATTACTAATGTGTAAACAATAGCTCAGTTATTTTTTTTTTTTAATTATTTATTAGCTTTGTCCTTCCCTCCTTCCTTCTTCCCTTCTTCCTTCCCCTTCCCTTCCTTCCTTTTCCTTCTCCTTCTCCTTCTTCCTTTCCTTCTTCCTTCTTCCTTCCTTCTCCTTCCCCTCCTTCCCTTCCCCTTCCCCTTCCCCTTCCCCTTCCCCTTCTTCCTTTCTTTCTCCTTGTCCTTGTTTTTGTCTATCTCCTCCTTCTCCTTGTCCTTCTCCATCTCCTTCTTTTACTACTTTTCCTTTTCCTTTTCCCTTTTCCATTTAACTCTTCTTCGCCTTCTCCTTCTGCTATAAGTATAAGTTATATGATATATAAAGATTTATAGATTAGTCATTAGAACAAATAGGTAAAAAGAATCAAAGAATTTTGAATAGAAATAGAGATTTTTTTTATCTCTTTAATACACCAATGTATCTACCATTTAAGATCCTGTAGAGACACAATGTATTATGTCATGTCACATAAATATTCACAAAAATTAAAGCTTTCATCCAGACCATATATTTTAAATGGTGATAGGGGCATACCTTTGTGATGTTGCAAATTAGCAGTTTCTTGCAAATTTATGCATGTGAACAGCTCTTAATCACCCAGATTTTATTCAAGAGCTGCACTGATAGCATTAGGTTTCGATACTCATACAGGAAACTTGTGTGAAGTTGCACAAGTTGGCAAATGTGCATCGATTTATTTGATTCATTTCTTGAAGCCTCGTTTGTAATTGAGTCTCCATCTTCCTAGGGTATCAAGAACTATGCTTCCTCGGGTGCGTCGGGTGTGGTCAAAACTCTTTGGCCGCTACCTCTGGGTTACCAACACTGTGAGCTGCGGAGTTCTCTTAGGGGTCGGAGATGGGATACAGCAGCACATAGAGCGAGCACGAGGAGTTTCCACCAGTGAGCGTTACGACTGGGCACGGACTGGACGGCTGTTCCTCGTTGGTCTAAGCCAGGGACCTCCTCATCATGTGTTCTATGTGTGGTTGGATAAGGTACAAGGAAAGGAAGGATAAAGGGGTAGTTTGGAAGCAGGCAGGGAAGAAAGGAAGGAGGGAAGTGGGATAGAGTAGTACAGAGGGAGGGAAGAATGAAGGAAGGCAGGAAAGAAGGGAGGGAAGTTAAGTGGAAGGGAGAGAAAAAGGAAAATAAAGATCAAATTTAGGGAAGGATGCTTAGAGGGGGATAGTTCTATTCTACTCATCTTCATCAATATTGTTTTTATTATAAGTAGCATACATGTTGAACAGGCATCTACAATTGGAGTACCTTCCTACTCTCATTTTTACAAATATATTTACAAGAAAAGAAGCTAATAACCTAAACACAGCTGAAGATAAAATATACATAGCTTAGAAATATGTTGTATAATTTTTTGTCTTATTTCTTTTTTAGTCACAAAAGAGATCCAATTAGATTTTCTCAGATTTTTCCAATATATATCCACTAACAGCAGTTTTCACTTTCCAGGTTTTACCACAGAAGAATGCAAAAACCGTTTTCAAGAAGATTATGGCCGACCAGTTCTTGGCTGCCCCGTTCTTTGCTGTCACCTTTTTCTTGTTTGCCGGCCTTCTAGAAGGGAAGACGCTGCCTGAAGCCTGGAAGGAGTTCAAACAAAAGTTTCCTGCAGTGTATTTGGTATGTGTGTTATGCCATTATGACTGTTATTGATAATAAGGAGCTAAGCCCTTTGTGCATATTATAATCATTATAATTATTATTAGTAGTAGTAGTAATGTTATACTAACAATGATGATTATTATCATTATTATTTTTGTTATCATTACTATTATCCTTATCATCATCATCATCATTATCATCATCATCATCATCATCATCATCATCATCATCATCATCATCATCATCATCATTATTACTATATTTAGCTGTTACAACAACAATGATAATGATAAAAAAAAATGTTATTGTAATTATTATGAATGTTGTTGATATTAATATTATTATTATTATTATTGTCTTTATTGTTTATTATATTATTATTTATTTATTATTATTATTATTTATTATTATTATTATTATTATTTTATTTATTTATTATTATTATTATTATTATTATTATTATTATTGTTATTGCTATTATTGTTATTATTATTGTTCTTGCAGTTGTTACATTACCATTATTATTCCTTATATTTTTGTCATTCTTATGATAATCATAGTCATTATCATTATTACAAGAACAATAACAATGCTAAATGTTCTGGTTATTATTACTATTGTAATCATTATTGTTGCTGTTATTATTATTATTGTTTATATTGTTATTATTATTGTTATTGTTATTGCTTTTATTGTTATCATCATCATGATCATCATTATCATCATTGTTATTATTATTATAGTTATTATCATTGTTATTGTTATTATCATTAGCATTATTATTCCATATGTTTTTGTCAGCAGCATCATAATCATAGTCATTATCAATATTAATAGATTTATTGTTATTGTTATTATTATTATTATTATTATTATAATTATAATTGTTGTTATTCTTATAATTCTTGAGATTATTACTATTATTATTATTATAATAACAAGGACAAGGACAGTAATGTTTTGATATTTTTTTATTATTTATTTATTCATTATTATTGTTGTTATTGTTTTTGTTATTGTTGTCATTACTATTATTATTGTTGTTGTTGTGAATATTATTGTTACTGATATTACTATTTTTGATATTATTATTAACAATAATTGTAGTATCATCATTACCCTTATTATTTCTGCGATTTTTCATAGTATTATTGTTATCATCATGATTTTTATTATTATTATTGTTATTGCTTTTATCATTATTGTTATCATATTTTTTTATTATTATTATGATTATCATTTTTATTATTATTGTTATTATCATGTTTATTATCATTGTTATTATCATTTTTATTATTATTGTTATCATCATTTTCATTATTAATGTTATTAACATTTTTATTATTATTGTTATCATCATTACTACTACTACTAATACCAATACTAATACTAATAGTACTTCTACTTCTCCGGTTACAACCACTATTAATTATTATCATTATTATTACTGTTATTATTGTTATTGTTATTAATGTTTATAGAAAAGGTATGAATGAGAGTGAAGATCTTCACAATTCAGGAGATCTATATAAACAGTTCTGAATATATCTCCTTATTTCTGACATATATTAGAAACCAGTTCAGTACATCTCTAGTATTGTAAAGAATTTCTTATTTATGCCTTTTCTACATCACATTCGTCATAATGAATCTGGTCCTGCATTATTAGAGCATTAGTAGCAGTAGTAGTATCATATATCATCAATACTAATATTATTGCTGTTATTTTTATTATTAGTATCATCATGGCAGATGGGTTTGCATCTACCATTTGACTGGTCATTATCTCATAAGGGTGTGATTGGTGTGGGTGTGAGTTCCCACAGGTATGGCTGAGTGCTGAAGGTGAATGGAGATCTACGGGGGAACAGGTGAGGCTCCCTGTCGGCGAAGGCTTGTGTGGTACATGGTGTGTGCATTTACCACTTGACTGGTGTCTCTATCTCTTTGGGGAGTGTTTGTGTGGGTATGAGTTCCCACTGGTATGGCTGGATGTTGAAGATGAGTGGACATCGGCAGGGGAGCAAGTTAGGATCCACATCAGCGAAGGCCTGGGCAAGCCTTGTGTTGCTGCTGCCAGCTATACAGGAACGAGGAGAGTCTTTGGTTCAATGAGCGAGCCGTGAGGTGTATGTTTCATCCAATCAGGTCTCGGCATTGAGTCATCAAGAAGCGGCTGATGGTGAGGTGCAAGGACAAGGTTTGTGGACCTGTGTGACCCATCCTAGGAAACTATGTCGAGTTGAAGAATGCAGGGTCATGGTACATCATCATCATCATCATCATCATTATTATTGTTATTATTATTATCATTGTTATCATTATTGTTAATATTATTATTATTATTATTATTATTATTATTATTATTGATATTAGTATTAGTATTATTAATACTATTATTAGTATTATATTAATTGTTATCATCATTATCATTACCATCATCATATTTTTGATGATAATCATTGTTTTCCTTTTACAGTTTGATTGGTTCATATGGCCACCAACGCAGACAATCAACTTCTATTTTGTCCCTCTACAGTACCGAGTGGTTTATATCAATTGTGTAACTGTTGTATGGGATGTCTTCCTTTCTTACACGAAACACAAGGTAGGAGTTTTTTAGTCAAAATTGTTCAGGTATTTCCTTTTTCTTCTTTTTCTTCTTATTCTTATCTTTCTTCTTTTCTTCTACTTCTTTTTCTTTTTTTCATACTTTTTTGAGGATGGTTTGAGCCAAGTCTTGTCTTTATTTTGTTTACTTTGATTATTTATTTGTTAAGTGCAGATTAGAATTGAAATAGATTTTGGGAAAAAGAAATAAATGTATTGGATTTTCTTTTTTCTCTTGTCATCTTCTTCACTTCCCAGAAATACCTCTCTTCATGTTTATATTAGTTTGTTATTTAGTCCTTTATATGTTTTATTTCCTTATTTGCTTATTTTCTTACATATTTACTCATTTCCATCCCCCTCACTTTATTTTCTTCTCCTTTTTCTTGTCATTATATTGTTTTTAGTTTACTTTCTTCAATGTAATGGGAGTTACAGTTATAATAAAAAGTTACATTAGGAGTTACAGTTGCAAATGTGACAGCCTTAATTTAGGTAAAAGCTTATCTATTTGGGCGTATAGATGTCCTAATGTTATTTTCATTTCTTTCCAGGACCAAGTGAAAAAGCAAGAAAAGGAAGTTTGACAACACAGCTGAATAGTCTGTTATTATTTTCTTTTTTCTTTTCTTTTTTTTTTGTCTTCTCTAACAAATTTATTAACACGTAACTAAACAAAAAATATGTACATGATGTTCCCACAGGTAATTTTTTTTTAATGGTCTCTAATGGTCACAGATGGCATAATAAGCATGCCACATCCACTGCTGTCATAGTTTATTAGTGGTATCTTGTTGCCAAGGTGGAAATTATTGGTCTTATATATCTTACATGATTACCATTTTCCCTGATTTGCAAAGAGATTCACTTTTTTTTATTATTATTATTATTATTGTTATCTGTATTTTTGGGAGATTATAATACTCATAATGTTAGTGATAATGATAGCAGCATTGTTATAAACAGCATTAGAAGGAAATTCAAGGAAAGGGATCTCCTATGAGGTCACAAGTGCCTACTTATTAATTCCTTGATGACAGCATTTGTGGAGCCATCTTTTGATAGGAAAGTTCACAAAAAGCTGCAGTTGATAGTACATGAACTGTGACCATAGAGTTAATAACCACTTACTTTGGGATTAATCAAGGGTCGTTTTTGCAATTTTCTCAGAAACTTAAGAGATAGAAGGAAAGACAGACAGGATGTACCTGTGTTGTACTTACGGTGGAGTCAATTCTCCGTGGTAACAGATTCCTTGGCATAATTATTACACTGCTCATTAACCTATATTCATTTATTTTAAAGTACAGGCTGCATTTTTTATCAGAATATATACCAGATAGTATAAAGAAAAATGTTTATGAAATGTTAAAACATCAAATGTTATTTATATGCTGGATTTTCTTGTCTTCCATACACTGCCATTTCTCAGGGGGGAAAGGAATTTGTATGATATTTATTATATAGCACAGATGGGAATTATATGCTTATATTTTATGCCAGATTGAAAGGTTAATCTATAGTACTATGTTTCATATTTATGGATATATAGCAAACATCTGTTCAAGTTATTCAGATTCCATATATTTTTTATATTACTGAAATTGATATGGTTGTTTTATTTACTAATATTTTAGTAGAAATTATGATAGTATTTGTAGGACATAGCTGAATTTACATAGGATTAGTAAAACAAGTGTTTGACTTGTAATATCTATGAAAATTAACAGATATATAATAGTATTTTTAACTTGATATCTGTATATTCCTGAGAATGTATATATTTTTCTAAAATACAGTGTTTACAAATTTCACTTGTATTTTTTCCTATTATGGATATTAAGACGAGCAGATTTAAGGGCAATTAATTTAATTAGCATATATTTGGAAAAAAGGGGACTCTGTTACAAAAGACCCCCCCCCCTGCCCTTTATTACTTTGTGTAATAATAATAGTTTTATACGTTTATTTGGAGAGAATGTTTATGACTTCCCACTTTTGTATATATCACAGTAGAGTACTTTATTTGTGTTCAGAGACAATGCAATGGATGTACAAAATTTTGTGACTTTTCCTTTATTCTGTTTTTTTCATATAAATATGTATGGGAGTTTTGAAAGTACAAACCAAGATATCTT